TTCTGTGTCGGGGATGCAGCTCCGACCAAAGTGTGGTTTTGTTCAGGCATAGCGGGATCATGCGGGTGTGGTGCTGATGTAATGTTTTGTTCGGTGCAATGAAAACACAATTCAGCAGACATAAATGCATAGACAGGCAGACACAAATATGCAGACACTGGTTCTTACATTCCTTTTTGTCAGTTGCCATTTTTTTCATGGATGTTTACAAGCAGGCTCTTGGTACCTGGAGATGGAGGGTCACCTTTGGAAGTACCTCAGCGTCACTGTTACTGTCGCTGTATGTGACACTCAAATCAGAGCGAAGGAAAACTCAACAAAACAAAGCACATTTGTTTGACAGGCGCCTTCCTCCCCGCATATGAAGTCATTCCTCTACATGTGGTATCGAAGAGGAAGATCTATCCAAACTGAGGTCATGTGAAGGGTATTTTGATTGAATGCCATATTTCCCACACCCAAAATGAAGTCATATGGTGGGATGCAGTGAGGAAGAGGTTTGTTATGGTTTCACTCTGTATATACAATGCCCACAGGACGGTGGTCCTGTCTGGGCCCACTGGGCCTGCGGTTTTAATGAATCATAGGAGAATTGTGGGATGGTTGAAGTAGCTGCCATTCCCACGCTTTAATGATGTGATCAGAATGAATAGCGATCACATTTGATTAATATAAAATGAGTGATAAAACACTGCTGCGAGAAGTCAGTCGTCCGACTGCGGAGGGGGATTCAGAATAAATCTTTGCTCAAGGTTTTATCGGAGGAACACAGGCGGAGGAGACAATATGATGTAAGGCAAATTGCTTTCTGATGCTACAAATCAGACTTGATAACGTAACCCTTAATTTTTCACACAAGTCTCTTCCGCTCTGATGTAACGATTCGAAATCCTGTCCAATTTTTTCCGCGTCTGTCGTCAAAATAGTCCCGCAACATTAGCAGCTCTCTGATCACTTCCACTTCTTCTGCTCAGACATCACCTCAGCTCTCCCGGGTCGCTTTCAGAGTTTTGGGCGCGCTGACAGATGCTAATGAGCTGTCCAAGCAGAGTGAGATTAGACCAGGCTGAGACAACAGGGAATGCGATGTTCCTGGCCTGAAGCCACGAAGGGACTGAGGAGGTTTATTAGAAAAAAGGGCTTGAGAAAAATGATGAAAAGAATGTCATTGATGAGTAAAGAAGTGACAGAACTTGCAGGTGCAATCAAAATTAGTCAGCCCTGCTGGGTTCGTAGGGGTTTACCCTCATATCTCCTACGCTAATCAAAGTCATGAAGAAAATGTGTGACCTAAACTCTCTGAGTTACAAGATTTTTTATGTAATCATCTCATCATGTCTTATCTTGTTGCTTTAATCACTTTGAAGTATGAAGTTTTTAAGCTTTTGGAAAGTCTGTCGTGATGCAGAATTTACTTCAACAGCGAGGGCTGCAAGGTGGCACAGTAGGTTGCCTCAGAGCATGAAGGTCGCTGGTTCACATCCCGGTGGGGGCACCAGGATCTTTCTGCGTGGAGTTTGCATGTTCTCCGGGTTCTCCGGCTTCCTCCAACACAGTCTAAAAACATGTTGAGGTTAATTGGTGATTCTAAATTGTCCATAGGTGTGAATGTGAGTGTGCCCTGAGCCCTGTGATAGACTGGTGACCTGTCCAGGGTGTCTCCTGCCTTCACCCTGAGTCAGCTGGGATAGACTCCAGGCCCTCGGTGACCCTAGTGAGGATTAAGCAGTGTATAGATAATGGATGGATGGATCCTTCAGTGCTGGTAGGATATTATTTATGATGTGTTACGAGGGTTGAATCATTCTGCAGCTGTAGGCAGGTCTGTGTCGCAATATTGGTGCTTATGGCCATCTGTTTATAATGTGCTGTTTTAAAGAAACACTTCAGCATTTCGAAAAACAGCGCTTATTTGGTAACTTACGGAGAGGTAGTTGGGAAGATTGTCGCCACTTGCTTGCTTGTCTATGCAGTAAATATGTAACTGAAGCCTGCTAGCTTAGCATAAAAAGTCAAAACAGGGGCTAACAGCTGCCGTTGGTTAGCATCTGCTGCCAAACAAGAAATAGTTTGGCACATAACCCCTCATTAAACAACAACAGATTTCTATTTTTGCACCTAAATTAGGGAGTTATGTTAGTTTGCAAAGTTTTGAGGTGCAAGTTTGTGACCTTTTGACCTTCTGACCAGCTGTTTTCAGTCTTTATGCTAAGCTAAGCTAGCTGGTTACTGACTTCACTTATATATTTACTTTACAGACATGGGAATGATGCTGATCTTCTTATCAAATTTCAGCAAGACTGTAAACAAATTTACCTCCAAAAATGTCAACTTCCTTTAATGTCACTGCCACCAGGCGACATCAGAAGACAAATCTCAATTATTTCCCTAACGAATCTCAAGACTTTGACGTGTTATGACTGTCTGGATCTTATTATTTGGATTTAAATCTCATGAAACACACTAGAATTATGATTTTTTTTTCTTTTCTTTTCTTTCATCCATAATCTGCAATAAGAAACTACATTGTCAGACTCACTAAACAGTTTTGCAGAACACCATCCATCTTCTGGTAAATGATCCTAAAAAGGGCCAACAAATCTCAGAATACCACAAAAATACCACAACACATGTATCACAGGATCACAATCATCACCACAGGAATTCCAGCGTTGAAGCACCACAACTTCTTTCATGTGGTCTTGTCCCATAGGATTTTTTTTTTTTTTTTTTTGAAGGTTGACATACAAGTATGTCTAATTAGGGTTTAGATTTTCCACTTCCGAACACAGTGATAGCGTCCCGTCCAAAAATGATGCATGTACATAATTTTCCATTTATAAAAAGAATGAAAATGACACCAGACAGCAGTTTAAACTCAAACGACTATCCATCACGAGAAATCTTGATTCAAAAGATGAAACGCATTTAATTTAATGTAACCGCATGTTTAACACCATTTCCTGAAGTGTTAGATTCTAATTGCATTCTGGTATCAGATCAAAAGCGGATTTATAAGGTCATTTGCTGACATAATTCACTGAACCGTGTAATAACACAATTGCAAACATCACTTTTTACCACAACACAGCGCTCATACGACGGTCTCCCTCCAAACTGCTTATATTTGATTAGCAAAAAATCCAGTAGTAAAACTGTAGCGCTGGTTGGAATCGAGTGTTGCCATAGTAAACACTGTATTCACAATAGCATACATCTGGTTTTACTTTCTGGGCTTTTAACCCTGTTGAACTTGTTACAGCGTCCACAACACGTCCAGCTAAATACGGCAAAATAATCCTGACTCAGCTTTGAATTATCATCATAACAGAAGTTATTGCAGAACATACAGACATCTCATCTCTTGCGGTTTCTGTGTTTATTGACGTGACTCTGTTTCTGAAGCCTAAATTGGCTCGGAAATTATATACTCTTAAGTATTTCTGTCTTTGTTTTTCTTCTGATGTTCCAGCTCTAGTGATGACTTACCCGCTCAGAAATGTTAATTACTTATGTTTCATTTCCTGTGTTTGCTGATCACACACTATGGAGGTGCAACGAGGACGAAACTCTCTGACGCCCTCGTGTGCTCAGAAGTTTTTGTCTACCTATAAAAAGTTTGAGGCTAATCGATCTAAACATGCTAAGATTTGAGAATCCCACGTTTCCATAGCAGCAGACTCAGCACGACTTTCCCCCAACGCCGCCACTGTTCTTCTCCCTCCCTTCCTTATGCGCTCTCTCAAGGTCAGCCTCAGCAGGAGACAGAACTGCCAGTCATCTGCCAACTCTGGAGGATCGGGGTATTTCCATCTTAAGCTCCCACACCCCTGACCCAGCGTGGGCCGAGAGCAGAGAAACGGGAGACCGCAGGGACGCAGGGTTTATCCTAAACAACAGCTGTGCATCATGTTGCGTACTTAAACAATGAATATATGTCCTGCAGCGGACTCCTCATCGCCTTAGATAGAGAGGTTTTAACTACTCTAATAATGACAGTGGACAGAGTCAGGAGATGCACTTTTAAAACATGAATATACACCGATCAGCCACAACATTACAACCACCTGCCCTAATGCTGTGTAGGTCCCCATCACCAAAACACCACTGACCAGTCAGGGAACCTCTGGGGGTGTCCAGAGTGTCTGACACAATGCAGCACATCATTTGAGTCTTGAGGCCTGCAGGTTGGAGGGTTTGTGTATCCAGCTTGTTCTGACCATAGAGTTTATGTTTCTGGCACATGGCACAGATGCTAAGTCAGACTGAGATTTGAGGGGTCAAGAAAAAGGAGACTGTGGGCTCCTTTTGCAGTATGGCAGGAGGCATTGTCATGCTCAGGGAGGTTGCTGCTTACAGGGGGTGCCATTGCAATGGGTTAGCTTGGTCAGCAAAAATGTTTTGAATGAACCTGTCAGTAATGTTTAATGTTGTGGTTCATCAGTGTAAATGTCTGGACTTCACATGGAATACCAGCTGCTGTTTGTTCATTTTGTACATACATATAGGTAAGATAAAATATTACTATCATAATCCCAGAGGAAATTCTCTTCCCAGATATTGCTCAGAAGAATGACAAAAACATAGGAAAAATGCAGAGCCTGACAATAAGATACATGGATAATGCATCACTAAAAATAGGAGTAAAGATAAGTAAGCTGAAACATCACAAGAATAGAATCGGAAGAAGTGATTGTGACAATTCATTTAACCTACTTTATATCTAACTGTATTGTCAGGTTTTATTAAGAAAGAAATATTGTAAAATACAAATAAATACAAAGTGATTTCCTCCTTTAGAACTCCATCAACCAAACAGTGCTCTTTGTCGTTTTGTTTCCAGTACAGTCACATCACTAATGTCTCCCTCTGCTGGCTGTGCAGCAGCATCACATCAACATTAAAACGCCTTCTCAAGGGCAAAGCGAAGCCACGCCTACTCCAATTTTATTGGTTGAATTTGATCTTCTCGTGATCTCATTGGATACTCTGGCTTCCATTCGGTGACGAACAGGGAAGTGTAAAGGAGAAAAACAGCACCGGTGAGAAACGTGGGTAAACTCTTGTGTCTTTTCACTCTTGTGAGCGTGTTGCATTCTGTTTGTGGTTTATTGTCAGCCTTTCCTCGGTTTTTAGAATAAACGTGAGGTGTTCCGTGTAAGCGTACAGCCTTCCTCGGGGCTGTGTCAACTGTATTCAGACTATGAGGCTAATATTAGCTGCAAATGCTAACGACTGTGTTAGAATGTCACTACTAAAAGTCAGCTGTCCCTGTCGGTTTAGAGCTGGTTGTTCTGGTTCGTGGTCGCTTCACTGCCTCCTGACTGATGAATTAAAGCTACTGTAATAGCCGGTTAATGCAACTTCTGTGCAGCAGAGTTTGAATGCAGCCGTAGTATTGTTTACCGTAAAGTAGAGTAACTGATGCAAACAGCTACACGTGAAAACCAACGAATCAGTAACGTGTTTTCAGAATGTAGTGTGAAGAACAGTAATCCTACATTGTCTTTATGTTAGTGTATTTACTTGTCTGTTAAAATACCACTGGGTGGAGCACGAGATCACATCATTAACACCGTTAGCTTTTCAGCACCAAGCCTACAGATTAAGGCTGGACATCGAAAATCAATCCAGTGACCTGATGTAGAAGTAATTGGAATTGATAACAATTTGCCCCTATAGACAGGAATCAATGCATTAAGCAGTATCTGTTTCATGTGAGGGAAAACATTCCTTTTATTTAGTTTTAAATTAAAGTGTAAAATGAAGTTCTCTGTCATTTTGCAGAATTACAATTGTGAGAGGGCGTTCTTAAATAACAGTAGAGATAGATTACTATTACTTTGCTGCTGAGGAGGTTCATTACTCATGCACTAAGTAGAAATATAACCACAGCTTCTGGCTAAGAGAAAAAGTTTGAAATATCATTTCTGTTGCTTGGTAAAGGTTAAATTTCTACATCTATAAGTGAGTGTTTTCGAGCTGCTCAACAACTAAGTTAATCTAAATCGTAGTCAGGTGCATCTTTTAAGGACAATGACCGGGTACTATGACCAGACACACCTCTGACCAATGACTATATAAAGTCCACCTTATAGTGCAGTTAAAATAACAGTGTCACAGATGATAAAAGAACGATGAGAACGGCATGTTGGCTGCTGGATGCAGGCGTGTCAGTTAGGGCTTGAGCCAGGCACTTTAACTGCCATCTAAGAAATCATTTCAGGCAGCATCACTAACATCATTAACGCTGTGTGTCGCAGATGTGTGACATGTTGCTGAGCTGTGATTTCTGCTCTGTGACCCCCTTTTGCATCTGTCCATTATCGTTTCTGGTATAGTCGTACTTGTTTCATTACCTCCGATCTGTTGTAGAGATGCTGTTTGGAGCAAAAAGTTATGTAAAAAAGAATGAATAGAATTTATTAAACTATCACATTCCTATTTTTGTCAGTTTCTTCAATCCTTTGTGTGTTTGTTTTTCTTAGTGTTTGCCTGATCGATGGCTGCCTCAGGGAAACTGGCATCTTTCCGCCTGCCTCCGTTGCCGACCGTAGGTGAGCTCATAAAGCTGTACAAACTGCGAGCTGAGAAACAGCTTTCCCAGAACTTTCTGCTGGACCTGAGGCTCACAGGTATGTCTTATTCTTGCCTCATTCTTCCTACTGCTCCATCTGAAATTCACCTGCTAGCTCCCGCTTTTTGTTTTTGTGTCTCCACCGAGGGCACAACGGTGTGTTTTGCCTTTGCACTTGATTGCACGGCTCCACGCTGGCCTTGTTTCAAGGCATCGAAACCGACAGGCTTCTTTGTGTGGCTGAAGTTAAGTAGATCTCCTGCTAATGTGAATGGACCACCTCGATTGTTTGCAGCCCTTTGAGAGCTGGAGCCTTAATGTAATTATCAGTGATGCAGTGCAGGTCTGATCTGCTCTCATGTCCTTGCACAAGGTGACTGTTGGATTAATGCATCTCATCTTCATCACACAGAGGCATACAGCTATTGCAACATCACACGCTATTAATCTCAATTTAGGTGCTGATGAAGACATTTTATTGGCGACTATGTTGTAATTTATATGTTGCATAAGTTGGGCTGACTTGGTATGTTGATTACAGAGTCTATACCGATGCCTTTGTTTTTGTGTTTTCAGACAAAATAGTGCGTAAGGCTGGCTGTTTGAATGGTGCTCATGTGTGTGAGGTGGGTCCTGGTCCCGGAGGCCTCACCCGCTCCATCCTCAACGCCGGGGCAGCAGATGTGCTTGTTGTCGAGAAAGATTCGCGCTTCATCCCCGGGCTTCAGGTAAATTAAACCACCGCATACAGATGGGCTAATTGTGCAATGTTATCAAGGTCGTCGTGTCATTCAGCAGAAGCAGCTCCAACACTTTGACCTTGTAGCTTCATGAACTCACTTAATCTGTTGTCACCCTCAGCATCCTTAGTGACTGATGACTGCAGCTTCTGTGGGTGTCTTTTAAATTTTTAATAGTATTAAATGCCATCTCCACAGCTGTTGTCTGAGGCAGCACCAGGCAGGCTGAGGATCGTCCACGGTGACATACTCACTTACAGGATGGATCGAGGATTCCAGGCAAATATCTCAAAGCCGTGGGAGGAAGGTGAGAGGATGGAGGTCCATGAGCTGTTACAGGAACCAGAACAAATTAAATACATACAGTCGTACTCAAATGTATTCATACCCTTCCATTTAAGAAAAGCCAAAATTCACAACAGTCATTCAAATAACTAGAAACTCAAAAAAGTAATAATAAATAAAAATTTGCCAAATTAGAATTTAGTGAAATAAGACATTGCTTTTGAATTGTGGTTGAAAAGTATAATAATAAAAAAATAAACTGTCCCGGACAAATTAGAGCACTTTGCTGATGAGCAGTGAAATCCAAACAGCTGTCAACAGGTGCAGAAGTCTGATGGAGAGTTACAGAAAACACCTGATTGCAGTGATTGCCTCAAAGGGTTGTTCAACAGAATATTAGTTTACGGGTCCCATCATGCTTCTTTGCTTGTTTTTTTTTTTTTTTTCAAATATTTCTGTTGAACCACAATTCAAAAGCAATGTCATGATTTTCATTATTTTTTTGTATTTATTTTTACTTTCGTCAATTTCACCTTATTTCAATGACAGCTGTTTTTTTCATTCTTTAATGGGAGGGTATGAATAAATTCGAGGACGACTGTATGACTAAAATGTGTGTGAATGTGTGTGTGTGTGTGTGTGGCTTCGCAGACCCACCAAACTTTCACATCATCGGGAATCTCCCATTTAACGTCTCAACCCCCCTCATCATCAAGTGGCTGGAGAACATAGCCAACAGAACAGGGCCCTTCGCCTTCGGACGCACCCGACTCACCCTCACTTTCCAGAAGGAGGTGGCAGAGGTGAGCGAGCGCTGTTGCACACTGCTGTCTTCTCCTCGTACAAAGAACAAAAAGCCTGACTAAATGAATTTAATTCTGATGTGTAGTGACCCCTGTATGAAAATTTTGTGTCATAAATTTCTCATTTTAGTTTTCTGATTAAATATTAACTCCTTGATCCATAATTTATCATATTTTGCCGCTAAAATAAATCTTTTTTTATTTCATCATTTCGGCCAGAGCAGCATTTATTGATGTTGGCTTAATTTTGTTCCATTTATGTCACACAAAGTCCTATTTAGGATACATCTGAATCCTAAATATGCTGTTTTTTTTTGTTTTGTTTTTTTCTATGCAATCTGTGTACCACTAATTTTTAGTCACGACTAAAAGCAACATTATATGACCTCAGCAATTAACCTGAGCTTAGCACCACTCATTTCTGGCGGTCGTCTTCTCCAATCCAGAGGCTGACGGCCAGCACGAGCAGCAAACAGAGGAGTCGTCTTTCCATCATGGCTCAGTATCTCTGCACCGTCCACAACTGCTTCACCATCCCTGGACGAGCCTTCGTTCCCAAACCAGAGGTAGGACTTACTGATGTTTAACTTCCGGCGTTTAAATCCAGGAGTGTGCTGGAGTTTTAAAAGAAGCTATTTATGTGCAGGGATTGAAATGTGTCGGGTGGGTGTTTGGCAAAAACAGAAGCTTCCCACTTTGTTCCCGGTCCAGTTTGTTTGCTGTGTAATCCGACTAGGCTCAAGTTCAAATGTGATGAACTGTTTTAGGTCTGTCTGTAGGTGTTCAGCTCAGGTTTGCTCTCATTGTTACAGTTCATTGGGAACAGCTCTGATTTCTTAGTGTGACGCTGCAATAAAATTTCAACTTCCGCACAGTTACATACAGTGAAATGTTAAGAAAGTTTATTTTAATTTCCATCTATAGTTTTGTGGCAGATGGCAAATTTTTTTTTTTGCACTTTAAAGTCGCAGTGGGACTTCCTCACATCTCTGCTCTTTGTCTGGTCCCATGCTCCCGTCACATTCCCTCATCATGTCTCCGTCACTCATCCCTCCCTCACTCCTCTCTCTCGCTTTAAGGCTTCATTAAGACTGTGTTGAATCAGTGTTGTCTCTCTTCTGTCTCTGGACCCTTTCTAGGTTGTAATGATGCCTGGTGGGTATTTGAGATGTGGCACGATCACACTGCGCCTTGTAATGAGGGCCTTGTTCTTTTTTAGGCCCAATTTCTCTGTCTGCGTCTTTCAGCCCATGTGCGTGTTTTCGGTGGCGAAAGAAAGACGTTTGCTCTTATGTAACATGAGAACGCAAAATTGTTTTTTTTCTTATCTTTGATTTGAGGATATATTGTTGGACTAGGGTGCACATTAAAAAAATGAAAGCACTGCTGCAAAATTTGAAATATCAGTGTTGGCTAATAGACAGCTCTGCTTAGATGCATTTTGAAGTCTTTTGAAAGCTCTCTTACATCTTTGAACAAAGGAAAACCATGTTTTTCTTTCCCGGAATTAAAGGATAGGTGTTAGGTGGATGTCAGAGCTGGACTGTTGGTCCCTTGAAGATGTCGTGGCTCTTTAGGAGATCCACTGTTGGTAAATATTTAATCTCCTGTGTGGAGTAAAATGCAGCAGAGTGAATGGGACCAGTGCTGATTGTTCATTCTCTTAGAAGAAATGGCTCCCGATGATTATTTCATCACACTCAGCTGCCTTTCTGTGCATTTGTTTTCTCTTGAGCATCTTATTTTTGTGTGTATGTCAAAGTAGAGCTTAATGGGTTTTAGCATGCTTGTCTATGGTGGAAATGTTGACATGCACTCGGTGTGTATAGATGTGAACGTGGAAGGCTCGCACCACACATGCGTGCGTGCACTGCAGATGAATCTGCGCCTCCCACATGCCCACACAGGCCATCTATCCCCACTAAATGTTTTAATGGGCACTTGGTCGAATTGATATCATTAGGAGAGATGATGGCTGTTTGATGAGCAGGCTTCCTGCTGCTGGTGTCCTATAAAAGATCAGAGAGCACATAGACTATATTAATGCTATCATAGCGTCTGCATTGTGCAAGGCCCTTTTTACTAGTATGTCATGCAGTATAATTCATAAAAAGCTCTATGGCGCTGCATTGTTTACTGGTGCACACCAGAGTAATTACGCAGAATTGCATGAACAATAAAAGTGCCCTTCATGATTTATGGGACAGCATCAAAGGCTGCTCGGAGGGGGACTGATTGAGGTTGTGACACAGGAATATAGATTTCTAGCTCAACTAAAGGTTCATCTATAAAACTAACTCGTGTATTCTGGGAATATGTAGAAAAATATCAAAGATTTTTGTCATAATATGTATTCATAAGATGTAATGGGTACCGTCCTGGGTGCTGTTACTGTAGTGCTCTGGTGAAAAAGCAGAAGCAACTTATAAAAATGATGATGGCTAAATATCCCCCTTTGTAGGCAGAAGTTAATTATAATGGGGCTGTAACGCTGCCAAATATCAAAGGTCTCTCCCTCTGTATCCCTCTCTTACTCTCTGCTTCTGTCTCTCGGTTGCTGCAGTTTGTGTGGCTTTTCACAGAGTGTGTGTGTGTGTGTGTGTGTGAGAGAAAGACTGTGCCATATACCTGTAGCCAAATCAGCCCCGTTGTCTAATTGTTGGTATTATCTTGCTCCCACTGAAGCGCTGGGATCACTGATTGTGTTAATGAAGAGGGATTTGTTTGAACCGAAGCACGGCTGGGCTTTCTTTTTGTCTGTCCCTGGCATGTCGTTGTCATGTCTGACCCTGAGGCTTTCTGTTTTTTTTGTTTAAATTAATTATCCCTATCCTATATCAGGTCAGCTCAGTCATATATTAATAAGCTCTTTCTGTCTTTATGAACCGTTTTGACCAGCGGTGATAGCTGTCCTTCGACTGCAGTAACCAATGCTTGCACAGTAAATAAAATGCACAGCAGCAGGTGCTATACCACGCCTAGGGCGATTAGTGGAGTCTGGAAAACATCTGAAGGTGTTTAATTCGGTGTAATCAAACAAACAGCAAGTCACCGCGAGCCACTGGAAAAGCAGGAAAATTGCTGAACCTTTCCAAATAACCATGATGAGAAAATAGCATCAGTTCAAAGCGGGGGGAGGGGGACGCGCAGGTTGATTGGCTGCTTGATTTGAACCTATAGGAGCTGGCCAACGCGAGCTAATGGGATAATGAGAAGGGAAATGTTGAATCCATTTTACATCAGCAGCTGTGGGAGCCCATATTGACGTGAGGCGGGCAGATAGGCTCTTATCCTTGCTGTTTAATTTGTCAGTCTTATCCCTCTCGCCCCCGGACTGCTCTGCTCCTCTCTTGTGTCACATTGAGTGACTGAGATTGTCCTTGAAGGTTTCTGAGAGCGACGATTGGCTGCTTTGATGGTGTTCCCCCAGGCTCAGACTGCCCTAGGTCTGTCCTGTTGCAGATCACACCTGCCTCCTCTCCCTTATTAGTCACTCTTGTCCTGTTAATTCTCACATAGATGGACAGATTGAGCCATCTTTAAATTGCTCCTGTCGTTTACAAACCTCTGAGAGAGTCTAAACAGAGAAGACAAACTGATTTCCTGCTGTTGCTTTAGTCATCATACACATTTCTAATTTATATTCTGGTCAGGGGTCAAGGAGCTTTTGAGCACACGCTGCCATCAAGCATCTGCATCTTCAGCGTGAACATCCAGATTCAGCTTCACAGCCTCTTCACATAGAAAAGAGCTGATTTGGAAAGAGTGAAGTGCGTGGCGTTGACGTTCTCATCTACGTTTCCCAGCCTCTCCTCCGCTCTGCATCCGGGCAGAATGTGATTAAAATCAACTTCCGTCCGTCACGGGCAGGTCTATAAGTCGCGCAGTGGATGCTTCATCACAAGCAACCCGCTGTCTCTTGTGAGGAGCTCCTTGAGGGCTCTGTTGTACTAACAACTGTGGTATTCATTAAAAAAAGAAAAAGGTGAGGAAGAGATTGAGGCACTGAGAAGAGGGGTTTACAGGAGGTGGAAAGAAGGAAATAGTAAAAACAAAATGACCTAGAGGAAATGGGAGTAAGGGTTAAAAAAAAATGGATGGAATGGAAAAATATGTATTGGACTAAATCTACGACAAGATGGGTCGTCAGTGTTGGAGTGCATATGGGGTTTGGCTGTTCTGTATGTAGGGCGACACAATTAATCACTAATGAATCATGATTTTGGTCTCTCACAATTAAATGAACACAATTGACTCGATGCTTATAGAAAGCTCTGCTCATGTAGATAAAATCATTTAGTTTCAACTCGGAGGAATCTGATATTAAACAAGTAATTTTTGATCATGTCCCACTAACTGACTGGAGACTAGAGGCTAGCAGCTACCTCGCTATAGCTACCATAACCTGCACGTGTGGTGTTCAGGGAACATTGGTAAATTGTAGTGTCTGTTGACTAGCAGATATTTAGTAATGAGACGTTTCGGGTTCAATTTTTTTTCCATTTAACCATTCGGAGACTCAGGTGAAGAAAAACCTTATTTTAAGTTGTATTATGATGCCAAAATTTGTACATTGGCAGCAATGTGGTGCTCTGTTTACTTGAATTTGAACGTGCCATAAAAATATTTTGTCCCTTAAATCAGTGGATTATCACACTTTTAAAAAAATCAGGATTTTGATATTGGTCAAAATAATTGTGATTATTTATTTTAGCCAGGATCTCGCAACCCTAGCTGTATGCATGGAAACAAAAGGCTGCAACAGCAAAGCCTCCTCCACGCCAATACAGAGCGCCGCAAGACAGATTCATGACAGAGATCGATCTGAAAGGAGAGTGAGGCGTACCTCCAGCAGATGGTTGTCTGGGCCGGTCGTCAGCCCGCTCTGAGTAATGGCTGCATCAGCCATCGCCCACCAACTAGCCGAGCCTCACAAGAGGAGAGCCCTACAGATGTTCGCCTTGTACGCCATCGTCTACCAAGAGCACAGGCCAGATGAGCGGAGCCTAAATTAAATTTGTTAATGCTGCATTGAACATCGATTATCGCTGGCAGTTTGTTGGGGGAGAGTGCAGACTTGTGCAGCAGCAAAAAAAAAAACCCTGCAGATCTGAACTGGTATTTTTAGCCGAGGATTTTTAATGTCTTTTTGGTTTTCTCTCCAGCTAAGCTTCCAGCTGGTGTTTCATGGATCAAAAATAGTTGTAGTGTTTGAATGGGGTGTTTCAGCGCTGAATGTGACCCACCTCAAGTCTACGGTGGCGGCAGGCTCAATGATGGATGTCTCTTCGGTGACCTGATCTGGCCCAGCTCTCGCCTCAACAGTAAGAGTGAGATTCGACTCCGAGGGGCTGTGCTGCTTTCTCACCTCCCGCCACACATTCGACGCTCGCACAATTTATCCAGGCCTATTCCTATCCCGTAAACGGGGTCAAACGTGGTATCAAGAGTATCGGGGAAAGTTATTTCAATGACTCGTGCCACCGCGGCAAACAATCAATACATCACACAGCCAAGGTAAAGAAAAGCTAAAAATACTCTCCTCCTCCTCCTCCTCCTCTCTGCT